GCTGTACAATTTTTATCTAGTTTCTGCATGTGGGATGTGCGAAACATCATGTGAGATATCAGAAGTACACAGTGGGGTTGAAAAATTAAAACTGGGCGTTTCTCTGTTGCTTCGTAAAGCTCAGTAGCACAGACTTGCTTGGAATATCTGCAAAACAGATACACAGGACAGGTCATGAAGGCTTTATGTCCCAAAATGTATTCCTTACAGTAGGAATTACAGACTAACAATTTTAAAAAGTTTTCATCCTTATTTTCCTGTTGTCAAAGTTTTAATTCGCAACTACATGGAAGTCTTCTGCTTTACTCTGACTAGCTGCAATAAGTCAAAATGCATATTCTAATCTTACTTGAAATCAAATTATTTTAAGTTACAGGGACAAAAGCAGTCCCAAACAAGATTTGGCTGTCATTGCTCAAAATGCTGAATGTACAAATGGTATGAAAACGTCTTTCCTTTGAGAAGGTTAAAATCTGAACAGCACTGACATATGGTTTAAAGGATTAAAAAAAAAAACAAACAAAACAAAAAAACCCAAACTGTTATCTCCATTATACAGATGGGAAATTGAGGCACAGAAAGAATAAAATGTGCCCAAGGTCAAATATGAAATCCCTTCAGATACAATCTTTCTCTCTAACATACTTCAGTATAAATTTATAGTCACCTAATAAAGAAATGTGGTAGTCATGCACATAATATACTTCATCATAGGAATCTTTTTCTTATCATTATTTCTAAAATAAGTTCAAAGTAACAACACCAATCTGCTCTGAACACAGCTTAGCTAGCCAGCTAAAAGCATTATGTGTGTCAACAGGATAAAACATACCAGTGCTTATTCTTTGAAATACTTTATTTCAAACTAGGAACTTTATAAAGGCTCCCTTTGGAAGCTAGGATTTCTCTTCTCTTTTTCCCAACTTTCAATATATTGTCCCTTGTTTTTCCTTGGGATGATATGCTTATGAAGGACACTGTAAAAGTGTGCACACACCAATTAAAGAAAGCAGTCTGGACTATTTTGAAAACAATACGAAGTTAAATTAAATATTCCAGCCACAGAAGCTGTCACTGCAAAGAAAAGCTGTGCCATTGATCTGGTATCAAACACAGTTTATAGTGTGTGAGCATGATGGACATGGCTCCCTTAATTACAGTGGATTAAAGCAGGAAGAGCTCTACTGATGTCTATACTTGTAGCAGGAGCAACGTAGCAGGGAGACAAGGAGAATCAGGTCCTTCCACTGCAGGAAGATGGTGTCACACTTTAGTGAAGACTTGACAGCAGGAAAATTCCAGTATTCATACATGATAAATCACATGCATCAAGCTGAGCATACAGCTTGCAGTCAGCACTTTGCTGTGAGCAGTGTAAGCACCAGGACCACAGTGCGAAGCACCTGCTCCCAGTCTTCCAAGCTCACTAATGATCTCAGCATTTGCTGTTTTCTGATGAATAAGAAATGCCAAGTGACTATTTTAGAGGCAGTTAGAGGGTCAGGAGAGGTGAATCATGTTGGCATTATCTAAGGTAAGAGAGCAGGAGGTTGCTTCCAAGCACCTTTAAGAAAACACTTTCTTCCAGCCCTAGACAGCAAGTCCCTGTTACTGCTCATATAAATAAACTGAGAGCCAGATTTGGTTCAATGGTTTCTCTAGCCTCCATCACAGTCAGATTCATTCTTGTCTCCTGTCTCAGCAATGCCAATTGCTTTAGGTACACACCCCAGTGGTTACGTCCTTTTTGCCTAGAAGCAGCTCTCACTAATCCTTATTCAACCAGAAAAATAACTGTGTATGTGAGAATTAATTACACAGCCCCCATTAATTATTTATGTGTTATGATAGGTGCAACAATTAAAATGAAGAAGCTGGTTTTACTGTTCATTCCCTTATGTTCCTGTCCCAGGTAAGGAGAAGGAAAGAAGAACTGCTTTTAAATTATCGTAGTGTTTTGCTCACATTGAATTTTTTTTTCCCTGTGAACTTAAATTCATTCTTTAAAAGGTGAGCTTTTCCTGGAGAACATGTCTGCAAACTTTTCGACAAAGTCCATTTTAATCTTTCCCCAAGACAGTGATGTTTAGATGTTACCCCTACACTGTGATCCCAATAGTCCGATCTGCCCCCGCCACACACGCACTGTGAGGATACCACTGAAAGAACAGGCTGCGCATTACTCAGCCATACTAAGGGACCAAGACTAACATATTGATTTAAAAGCACTCCGAAGATGAAAATTATTTCTTAGAACACATAATTTGTGTCATGGTGAAATAAGTACTGAGTGTCTATTTTGGTTTTTTTATAATATTAATATGCACATGATAACATGAAAAGTTATTGCTTTGCATGAGTCCTGCCTTATCACTCATAGCATTTGTTTCCGAGAGCTAGCATTCAATTATTTAAAAATGTAAATTAAAAAAATGGTAACTAATACTGGACATATTTACAATTTTATTTGTTCTAAATTCTCTCCATGGCCCAAACCTGCAAAGTGCCAAGTACCATCTCTTCCCAGGGATTTCAGCAGCAGTTAAAGGCACTCAGAACCTCCCTGACAGCACCTAGCATCTTGCAGAACAAGGCACCTGACATCAAAAAAAAAAGCATTTTGATTGTCAGGGAAACAGAGTCATCTCTCAGCTACAACATGTTAGCTGTTTCACAGAGCATACCAAGTCTGTTTAACAGTTTGAGATAGAAAAGACAGACATGCAATCCATATACCTCCAGAAGGATTTTAATTCAGCGGGATACAATGGCCCAGACCCCAGTGTGGGCAGAATATCACCTTACCATATCCCCCATATCCCCCGGACATGGAAGGTAAATCACATCTTTAATTATCATACAAGCTCAGATTTTAGTGTTGTGCCTCCTGTTGAAGAAAGTCTCTCTAACTGCAGAATCCCATAGAAATGTCACAGGTTTATACTGTATATTACCAGCTCAAAGGAAACTTATTATGAACTAGAATGCCATCTTTTGTGCCTTCCACTGCAACTTCAGCAGCCTACCAAGACCTCCAATGGAAGAGCAAAGAGGCTTTCGACATTACAAAAAGTACAGCCCCAAGTGTTGTGAATGCTATAGAAAAATTCAGGAAAAAAAAGCTCAGTACTCAATGAGCAAAAATGTCATCATGGTATCAACCGCTTCTTCTTGTTAGCTGGGCCAGAATCAGCGATGCTTTCAAGCTGGGAGAGACCCCATGAGTTGCCTGGTCATTCAGGCCAGGTTGCTCATGGCTTTACCCAGTTGGGGTTAAAAACCTCCAAGGGCAGAGACTGCACACAGGCAGCCTCTCTGGGCTACCTGTGCCTCTGCCTGACTGTACTCACAGGGAAAAATACCCAGTCTGTTTCAACTTACGCCTGCTACCTCTTTTTTCCCTCCCACCCTCAACCACTGTAAAGAGCGCAGCTCCCTGTCCTTGAGGATGTCCCCACAGGCACGGGGTCTGCTGTTAGGTCCTCTTGAAGCCATCTCCACTCCAGGCTGAACCAGCCCAGCTCCCCTAGCCTCTCCTCACAGGGCAGGTACTCCAGCCCCCACCATAGAATCACAGAATCATAGAATCATTAAGGTTGGAAAAGACCCTTAAGATCATCAAGTCCAACCGTTAACCTGACACTGCCAAGTCCACCACTAAACCATGTCCCTAAGCACCACATCTACCTGTCTTTTAAATACCTCCAGGGATGGGGACTCAACGACTTCCCTGGGCAGCCTGTTCCAGTGCCTGACTATTCTTTTGGTGAAGAAGTTTTTCCTAATATCCAACCTAAACTTCCCCTGGTGCAACTTGAGGCCATCTCCTCTTGTCCTGTCACTTGTTATTTGGGAGAAAAGACTGACCCTCACCTCACTACAACCTCCTTTCAGGTAGTTGTAGAGAATGCTAAGGTCTCCCCTCAGCCTCCTCTTCTCCAGACTAAACAACCCCAGTTCCCTCAGCCGCTCCTCATAAGACTTGTGCTCTAGACCCTTCACCAGCTTCGTTGCCCTTCTTTGGACACGCTCCAGCACCTCGATCTCCTTCTTGTAGTGAGGGGCCCAAAACTGAACACAGTACTTGAGGCGTGGTCTTACCAGTGCCGAGTACAGGGGGATGATCACCTCCCTGGTCCTGCTGGCCACACTATTCCTGATACAAGCCAGGATGCTGTTGGCCTTCTTGGCCACCTGGGCACACTGCTGGCTCATATTCAGCCAGCTGTCAACCAACACCCCCAGGTCCTTTTCCGCCAGGCAGCTCTCCAGCCACTCCTCCCTAAGCCTGTAGCGTTGCATGGGGTTGTTGTCACCCAAGTGCAGGACCCGGCACTGAGCCTTGTTGAACCTCACACAGTTGACCCCGGCCCATCGATCCAGCCTGTCCAGAGAACTCCCTCTAGTTTATCAACTTCTCTGTGGTTTTGGGCTCCCGACATTGGATTCAGTAATGCAGATGTGGTTTAACAAGTACTGAGTAGAGGGGAATAATGAGTCCCTTTGATCTGTATCTCTGCCACTGGCCCATGTCCCACTGGCTGGCCACCAGGACCCCCACGGCCTTTCCCGCCGAGAAACAACCGCAACAGCTCTCCATTTGCAAACTCCATGAAAGCAGCAGCTGGCAAATGACAGCATTTGTCCTAGCATTTGTTTCTGAGAGTTAGCATTCAATTATTTAAAAATGCAAATAAAGAAAAATATGATAACTATTTGGCCCAAAGCCTTTGAGACTTCTCTAATCACTGACATCAACCTGGGTATTGCAAAATACGCCTCCACTGACTCCACTGAAAAATCAGTCTGGATTATCTAAAAGGCACAAAATATATGTAGAAAAGGAGACAAATGTAAGAACAGTGCACTGATATGTAGCTGCCTACATCCTAAATTTCCTTTGTTGGAGCAAAAATTCCTTGGTTCATTGTTGGTGCTAAGATGGTCAGTAAACTTTCCTTCCAACTAAAGGAAACTAATTCCCTTGAAAAAATACATACCAAGAACATTAGCTGTACACTGGAGAATTCCTGAGACATCTTCAGTTTCTTCATTGCCAGAGCAGTCTGTATAGGAGCATCTGTTTGATATATTGTGAAAGTTCCTCTCTGCATCCCTGTAACTACAGTAAAGAAAGTAAGAAAGTTATAGCATCTCCTTATACAAACTCAAGGTCAACAAATGTCTTTCAGAAGTGGTGGTAAAGGATGCCTTTAGTGTCCCTTGTCTATTCCCTCTTCTCCCCTCCATCACCCCCTTTCCATTTGTGCATTATCACACACAGATGACACGGCATTAGTAGCCTGGGTATCTCAAGTATTATACTAGAATCCAGAATACTACCTGTAATAAGAATAAAGACATAAGAAAAAAATAGTACCAAAGGGATGAGGGAAGGGTATCAGACATAACTGTCCTATATGTCATTCCCACTGGGGTGTTGTCTATAACAAAGTTGTACAGTAAACTCCAAGCAAGACGTTTATGAGGCAATGCTAAGTATCTAATAAGAATAATAAATCTTCCACATCACATTACATTAGCACTGCAAGTATAAAACCTAGCTTTCTCTGTGGATTATCTTCTGAAAAGATCTCAGCGGAAAGATATCAAGCTGCAATTCACTATGCTATCAAGAATAAAGTTTGTGCTATAGTCTGTTAAAGAAAAATTAAAAAGAAACCCGTCACTAATGAAAGATACAGAGCTATGCTCTGACCAGCAAGAAAACAGCTACCATCTAAATTATTCTATTTGATTTGGCTTTGCTGAATTGCTTTTCCTTAATTCAACAGAAACAGAACAAAAGCTCAAACTATGTTTAAAACAAAGCTTTATGCAGGTGATAATGACAACAGAAGAGGGAATACAAGTGAAGAAAATACAGCAGAGTGATAATGCACTTGGCAAAATATACAACTGATTTAGCTCAATGCACAGAGAAAAGCTTTTCTAATCAATATTAACAGTTCTGGTATGCTTTCATACTTTGTTTATAGTTCATAAATCATGAATAGCAGTTTTAAGGATTGGACTCTTCATCTGGTTAATGCCTGCAAAATCTCAGCACCTGGGTTGCCAGCACCTGTGGAAAAGGACTAGAAAGGATTCAGAGCTGCCCATCAGGTTACCCCCCAACAGGGAAACTGGTTCTCCACATGGAGTAAAGCATATTGGGAAGAGCAGGCTCATCTTAGACAAGGAAAACCCGCTGGCCAGGGCTGCTGGTGCGCTTTGCAGTGAGCTGCATGGCCTGTACTGCTTCCCAGGCCTCCAGCGATGCCAGGCCATGAGCCTGGCAGGAGGCCACGAGCCTGGCAGGAGGCCACGTCCTGACCCACTGCCCGAGCTCACCCAGAGCCCAAGCCCACCGCCATGTCAGGAGGCCAGGCCTCTTCAGTCAGCATCACCAACTCCCAGAATGACACCACGGCCACTCCTCACCTCTGATCTTTGCTGGGACGGGAGATTTGATGAACATTTATGTTGCATTGGGTGTCAGCACCCAGGGGGACTGCAGGGACCTCTGTGAGGAGAGGATGGAGCTGCCCTGTGCTGAGCATAGCCAGTTCCAGCCATCTCCAATGGCCCCACCGCAGGGCACAGCTCAGCCCCACAGCCAAGCAGTTGGCACCTCTGGGAAAATGTATTTAAGAAAGGGCAAAACATCTCATGGTGGTGTAAGGGGTGAGGAAAAGAAGTGAGAGAAACAACACTTATGAACACCAAGGTCAGTGAAGGAGGGGAGGAGGTGCAGGGGTAGAGATTCCCCTGCAGCCCCTGGAGAAGACCATGGGGAAGCAGGTTGTCCATGGAGGACCACAGCGGAGCAGATATCCACACTGCAGCCTGTGGAGGACCCCATGCCAGTGCAGGGGGATGTGCCCTGAAGGAAGCTGCAGCCCATGGACAGCCCACAAAGAGCAGGGGAATAAGTGTGAGGAGGAAGGAGCAGCAGGGAGGAGCTGTTATGGACTGACCACAACCTCCATCCCCATTACCCTGTGCCACTCAGAGTAGGAGGAGGTAGAGGAGTCAGGAGTGTCTTCACCTCAACCCACAAGCTTTGTTCATCTTATTTTCCCCCCTGTCCTGTTGAGGTGGGGAAGTGAGGGAGTGGAGCGGCTGGGTGGGGGTCTGGCAGCTGGCCAAGGTTAACCCACCACAGTGTGTACCAAAAGTAAAGCTCACGGGACAGGACAAATATAGGACATCTGTTAGAGACAGATGCTACTTTAACAAACTCATACTGATGTTCAACAAACTGAGTCAGTGTATCATAAGTCACAGAAATTACAGGTTTTCAGAGGGTCCTCGTTTTAAACTTTGTCCATTAAAAGAAGTACATCTAAGCCACATGTGGCCATAAATAAAAAGCCGCACTGTTATTGCACACATGCTTTCCTCAAGGCACTGTCTCATCCTCTGAAATCTCCTAACATAAGACTTCAGGCGATTTTTTCAGCAGCTGAAAAAATTAGCAGCCAGAAGGTTTCTCCTCCCTGCCTGCCCCATGGTGGACGTCACAACTCCCTGCCGAGACTGGCTCCCTCGCTGCCCTCAGGTGCCAGCCAGACTGCTGATATTGCAGGTATCACCCACCAAGCTAGGGCTCCCTGTGAATTTTAACCAAACACTGAGAAATAGGCAAGGACAATTCCCTCCAGTGCACCAAGCTTTGAAACTATGTCATAAATTCTAAAAAGACCCTCAACGCAGCTTGAAAAAAATTTCATTGCATCTGTGTAATTAAATACAGAGGACAGCATTCTTCATTTGTCATATGGCACAGCCATTTAATGGCTATAGACATGCAGCCACTGTATTCTGACTCAGTTAGGAAAAGTTATGTGACAATAAAATACTTGCAGAGGTAAGGAAAATACTTGTGCAGGTAAGGAAAAGGTTGAAAGGAGATTATTTTAATCAATGTGAGAATGCCTTAGGTTTTCACGATGATAGTTGCTATTAGTTTCTTTTTACTCCTCAGTCATCTATTAATTTTCTCAGTGAACTCTTAGGAGGTGGCTTTCAGCCCTGCTTCTGCAAAAACTTGCAAGTATGTAACAGTGCGTGTATGTAACAAGCACTGATGCAGGATTTTGCAAGATTTGGACCTCAGGTCATTACATAAATAACTTTTTCAGCATTCTCAGCTGGCTCTGTGAAAAGCAAATTGGAATAGATCTTATACTTTTACAAAAAGATTCCCTATTCTTCTTACATAGGAAGCACCACTGTTAATGGAGCAGTCATGCTCTGGTGGGATTGCATGGAAGCAGGACTGGACAGAAGTTTATCATTAACATCCATAGTATGTAGAGTTACTCCAGAGCATCTCTAAGAATTTGTGAGAGAAATTAAAAAGCTTGTCAAACAAGGCTGCGACTTGGGAAGCATAAAGAAAAACATTACCATGCACCTTTCACTACCTCACATTAACACTTACCCAATAACTTGATGCTCAAAATACTGCAGTGTCCTTTGAAGAGTTTGCCGAATGGTCTGAGGCTATGGAAGAATAATAAAAAAAATCATAAGATTAGGGAAGTACAGTACAGTTTAATTAACATTATCTTTTAACACACTATTTTTCTCCAGTCTTAGTCCTCCTCATCTTCTACCTGCTAGGTGCCCATCATAGCAATGGATATGAAATATTACTCATTCCTTATATCTCACTTCACCATTTAAACAGGAAGGAATTTTATAATGTGACATAATTAATACTGCTTACAAGACTAGTTGTGCATAACAAAGGAGCCACTTCACTACTAGCTCTCAAAAACTATCACCTACCAATTATCTCATTATTTTAAAATAATTAATTTAAAATAGTTGCAAGAAAATGCTATTATTTTGTGATGAAGCTATCACCAGGAAAAGGCATTGGGGTTTTAAACTCTGCATGCTCCCTACAGCATTTTGTACTAAAGAATATTATAAAGATACAATTTATTTTGGCTTACTTCCCTGACAAGCTATGACTCTCCAGTCATCTTTTAAATTATCAGGAAACTCAATTTCATCAAAAGAAAATCATGACATGCTTCAAGCATTTCTATGCTATTTAATAGGTGTTGACCAAACTGCGTATGTGCATATATGTGTTTATTTGGATTATTACTACTACTACAGTGTTCACCAAAATACATATGTACATATATATGTTTATTTTCCTTACTAATACTACTACTGCTGCTGCTGTTGCTGTTTCTATTATTTTGAATTAATTCATGAGAGATCTTCGGGTAAATAAAGCAAATGTGAAATCCATGTCATTTTCTTTGGAATTTTCCAAGTCACTCATGGCAAAACATCTTTCTTCCAAAATGACTGGTTTGTACCAAATATGAGGTTTTTCACCTGTCTATTTTGTCCTGGTGCGAGAGGTGAGACAAAAGTACCCAATTTGGATTTATAAGTCTTTCTTCTGATCAGAGGCATACAGGGATATTTTGATCACACTCGCAGTAGCAGACACTCAAATTTTAGAGATATTTGGTATTTCCCTACCTTTTGGAAAAGACATCTAATTGTTTTGGAAAGTAATAGTTGAAATGCCCCTTAATTAGAGGAATTTCATTCTAAAACCACCATCATCTTTGAAAGTCTCATATTTTGCTTACTGCTGTACAGATTCAGCAGTTCAAGAGCTGAGCTTTCTTCCTACTATTGTCCATGAGTTTGCAGAAGGAGGTATCCGTTTTGATGGCAGCAGGTATGAAAACGTGTATACCAGGCTACACTAGGTTTGTGCAATTGTAAAAATTTCTTTTTTAATACCAAACTACAAGAACGTGTCTACCCTTTTGAATTCAAATGTGTAGAAATGCATACACTCAACAAAAATAAGCTCAAAATAGATGTAAACCTTGAAAGAGCGCTTTGTTAATTCTGTATCAGATAATTACTTCTCTTCTCTGTGGGAGCGAAGTTTCCTGTGCTAAAAGGCACTAGAAGTTACATGTTCTCTTGCAAAACACAATGGAAGCACCATATGAATGAAACCATCACATATCAAAACACCATCCCCTTCTCAGTGGTACAGCAGGTGTTGGAAGTCTTTAAGCCTGATGGGCTACAAATATATTTCGTGGCCTGTTGTCACAGAGATTCAGAAGCTTTCCTGTGCCCAGCAGGCAGAAAAATTAATTCTTCACATATAGAAAAGATGTCTTTTCCCACTCGAGCAATGAGGTAAAGGAAAATTACTTTAAGCAAAGAGGTCAAGATAGCTGCCATCTCCCATGTCCACAGAGCATTTCCCTCAGCCCCACACCCTACACACAGAACATTAGTACTCCACCAGCAGCTCCTCTGACATGAAACAGGGAACGGTAGGAATGTTTGATCAAATTAAATCTCCCTTCTGGTTCTCCAAAAGTGCTTTTACAGTAAGCATATGGAAGGCAGTAATGCCTGGTACCACAGCAGAGAGGAAGGAAAACAGCTTTTTGTCCTCTCAAGAAGTTTTGCACCTTATGACACCTGAGCAATCCTCCATGGACTGTCTTTGCCTTTCTCATGCCTGATGCACAGATGTTGCACTCCTCACCCAGGGAAATATCCTTTTGAATACCTCAAGATTTGACCATCCCTTCTCCTGCAGTGCTGAATTAAAAAGAGAATAGCCCACATACTGTTAACTCTCTTCTGAAAGCTAAATCATCTGCCTAGCTGTTGTCAGACAATTTTATACAATCCCATGAACTCATACTCTTTTTCTTTGGCATTTCCTATCAAATCTTACAAATTAAGTACAGACAAAAAATAGGATTTACGATTGAAACACTGGTCATAAACAGAGCTCTATGTAATGTGCTCATAGCGTGCAGGAAAATTGACCTGAGGAGTCACAAAGTCTTTCTTCATTTCTGACAAGAATTATTATGGCATGTCACTGCGCATGGTTAAAAGGCCACCGTGCTCCCCTTCTCAATTTGCTGTATTTCATCACTTGTGAGCGTCATTTTGCTATAGATGTAATTCTGTAACTATGGCCATGACTAAACAAAACAGAGAGAAGAGATACGATACCTGCTTATAGCTACCTGCAAGGGTAGTTTGGTGTACCACTTCTGCTACTGACTAAGCATTGCCTATGAGAGCGAGAGTGGGCAGGAAAACATTTCCACCTCTTTTCTGCATCCAATGGCAAGACTGGATGGAGGCAAAAGAGCTAAACCTCCTTCTAGTAGCCTCTCCAGGAAACATAGCTTCTGCCATTCGGGGAGATGAAAGACAGCCTATAACAATGCACCTTCTTTACCACAATGTACCATGCAGGTACCCAGTGGCAATTATCTACTGGAGAGGTTTTAAAGCTTCATGACCACTTAAAATTAAAGATTTAATATAAATGTAAAATAGCGACTATTACCTAAAACAGTAAATTTTAACAATTCATTTTTATTAGAATGATTTACTAATATTTGGTACGCATTACAAAAGGAATAGTCACATCAATTCACAATTCTAAGGGCAACTCAAATTAAGACATGCCAGTATTGCTATTGTTAACTGTAAATTAATCCAAGAATTTCCATAACAGATCATATCCAAGCTCCATCTGGAATAATGAAATATAAGGTAGAAGGGACAACTGAAAGTATTTAGACTGATCTCTTGCATGGCAAAGGCCACAGGACTTCCCTGAATCAATTCTGAATCCAGACATTAGGCCATGGCTAACCCTAACGTGTCAAAACAAATTGTAAAAAATCAGAATCACAGAAGCATGGTGTGATTTGAGTTACAACTGGTTGCTCCGGTCTTTCTCCAGATGATTTTTTAGTGTCTCCAAGGATGGCGATCCCACAGCCTCCGTGGGCAATGTGTGCCAGTGTTTGAACATCCTCGTGACAATTTTTTTTTTTTTAATACTCATTTGAAACTTCCCATCTGCCAGGTTTCTTGCCTCTCATGCTTCTGTTGTGCACCCCTGTGAAGAATCTGATTCCATCTTCTCTACACACCCTGCTCAGGTAGCTGCAGACTGCAACAAGATACCCCCAAAGCTGTCTCTTCTTTAAAGCTGAGCAGATGCAGCTCCCCCAGCCCCTCCTCAGATGTCACGTGCTCCATACCTTGACCATCCTGGTAGTCCTCTGATGGCCCCAGTATCAATCCCTGAGGGATATACAGAGGTAACTGGTTGCTAATTCGACTTTGTCACTCTGATGGCCACCTTTTGAGCCTTAAGGTTCAGCAAATATTCCACCCATCTTATCATGACTTAAGCAGTCCATATCTCACCAATTTGGCTCTAATGACACTATGGGAGATCATGCCAAAGACTTTCCTAAAGTCAAGGTACACAACATCCCTTCATCCATTGAGCCAGTCATCTCATTACGGAAGTCAATCAGGTTGGTCAGGCACAATTCATCCTTGGTAAAGGGCATAAAAGTGTGTAAAGGGTGTTAAAGGGAATAATAGGGGTAAAATTTGGCCTGGCTGTTCCCAGTCACCATCTTCTTATCTTTTTTTGTGCTAAAAAGGCTTCCAAAAGGATCTGCTCCATAACTTTCTCAAGGACTGAGGTCAGGCTGATTGGTCTGTAGTTCCCTGCATCCTCCTTGTCCTTCTTGATGCTGGGTGTGATGTTTGCCTTTTTCTAGTCATCAGGTACGTCCCCTGATTGCCATGACTGGGAGGCTTTCCTATCTCCATCCCTGCATGTTCAGGTGATGCCTCAATATCCTTCCAGGGCACCCCGTCCCTGCTTCCAACTTCCGTGGACATCATTTTTTGCATTTGAGCTCTGTGCTGAGGTCCCTGTTCATCCATACTATCCTTCTTCCATGCTTGCTGGACTGTCTGCACATCATAATGAACTGTCCTTGTGCTTTGAGGATGGTGTCAAAGAGTCCATGAATATCAACCAGCTTCTTGTGCCCCTTTACCCTACAGGCTAGCTGCCCATTGGATCCTGCCAAGAAGATCTATAAAGAAGCCAAAATCTGCTCTCCTGAAGTGTGAGGTTGTGATTCCACTTACTTGTCTTTCCCACTTCTCTCAGTGTTTTGAACTCCAGCATCTCGTAATCACTGTAGCCAGGGCTGCCCTCAGTCTTTATACCTTCAACCAGTTCTTCCTTGTTCGTGAGCAATAGCTCCAGCAGAGTATCCCCCCTTGTCAGTTCACTGAGCCCCTGCATTAAGAATTGTCTTCAGCACACTTCGAAAATCTGCATCGTTTGTGCTCAGACCTATTGCCCTTCTAGTGGGTTTTGGGTTGGCTGAAGCCCCCCATGAGTACCAGGGCCTGCCATTTTGAGGCTTCCTCCAGCTGTCTAAAGGCTTCCTCTGTTTTCACTTCTTGACCAGCCAGAGTGTAGCAGACATACCACCACACCACCCCTGCTCATCTGTCCTCTGCTCCTGACCCCCATGCTCTGGGCCAGCTTGCTCTGTCCAAAGGGAACTGCCCACCCACTGCTGCCACCTCTTGGCACAGAGCACAGCTCCTGCTCCTCACCTTCCCAGCCAGTCCTTCCTGAAGAGCCTGTGTCCCTCTCCTGCAGCACTCCCATCCTGAGAGCCATTCCACACAAAGATGTGTGCAATCCTACATGAGGTCCAAGCTCAGTGGTATCACGGGAATGTCTAATGCCACCTCCTTGATCCCCATGCTGCCTGCATTTGGGCACAGCACTTGAGATGGGCTCCCAGTCATGCTGCTTTCATGAGGTGAGCGTAAGAGCCTCTCCCATCCTGTTGTTCCCGATACTTCCTTCACTGCTCCCCCTTCTCTGCAGAGAATGAAACCTCTTCCCCAACAAGATAGTTTAAAAGCCTCCTCACAAGGTTGTGAAGCCTGTTAGCAAAGACACCCTCACCTCACTGTCAGGTGAATCCCATTCTTGCTCAGCAGTCCTTGCTCCTCAGAGCGCCCCGTGCCCATGGAGACCAAAGCCCTGCCAGCAACAACAGCCACACAGCCAGGGACTGCCTTACTAGATGTGTCCTCTCCACCCAGAGCCTTTCCCCTCACCAGCAGGATCAAGGAGTCACCATCTGGGCACCCACACCCTTTGCCCTTGCACTCAAAGCCATGCAGTCACTCCTGATACACTCAAGGTCTCCCCTGGCTGTATCATTGGCACCCACATGGATGAGCAGCAGGGGTCATAGTCCAAGAAACATACAAGCTTTGGCAGCCTCTTTGCGATACTATGTCCGAGCTCTTGGCAAGCAGCAAACCTTCTGAGGCAGCAGAGTGCCTCTGTCTCCTCAGAAGAGAGTTTCTGATACCTACCAGCCTCCTCTTCTTGAAGCCTCTAAGGGCTGAGGCTCAGCTGGCTCTGAGGCCTCATCGCAAGGGAGGTCATCTCTCCCACCTCTTCCCAGGGCACTGTACCTGCTCTGTAACTGCTAAACCACAGGTGGGAAAGGGGCCTTAGTTGTTTTGTGAGAAGTAACAAACCTCCAGCCTCCTCCATCTCAGGAGTTTCCACCCTTGACCCTCAAGGGTTATCTCTATTTTTCCCTCCTGCCTTGCAACATGGGGCTCAGGTTCTTGACTCTGCAGGGCCTCTGGAAGGACCTGTCCGTCCTCCCTGATGCGTACAGCCTGCTCACTATCTCCTACAGCTCTTCCACCTGGCAACTCAGTGCTGCAATCAAAGCACACCGCCATTGCACAGCAGCCAGCAGCGATCCCGAACACGGCACCCCTGCCATGACAGCTGCTGTGACTCCGCCAGCCGCCGCTGTTTGCAGGATGCACTCGTAGAGAAATCTGCCCTTCTCGCTAGATCTCACCTGGCTCTCCAGTAGTGCGAAACTGGCTCAAGACCTGAAGCTAGAGGATTAATAGCTCCTCAAAGGTGCTTTTAAGACTAATTGAAGAAAATATTTATGAAGGTATTTGTCTAAATGATCTTGAAATTTTTTAGGGTTTTTTTTTTTTTAACTCAGACAACATCCTTCGAAAAAGACATTGTATTTTTTTTTTCTTTTTTCAGTTTAATTTTCCTTTCTTTTAACTTCATTGCCTCCAGTTTTGGAGACAAAGGGGAGAGGACTTCCACTTTAATTGCATCCCTTGTTATAAATGTCTTTCCTAAGGCAATCAAATGTAAGCTTTCCAATCTCTTCTCAGAGGACAGAAACTCTAGCCTATTCCCTAGCTATCTTCTGTTGCCTCTGAAACATCTTTCATTTGATTGCAATAGCTTCGGAAATAAATGGTAGGGCTCATCTGCCCAGCTGTAGGCACCCAAAGTGATTCGTTTCATCTTATGGTTGGCATCTAATACATGCCTGAGGACTCAGTCTTTAGAAATGCCCATTTCTTTCTTTTGTCTAGAAAAGATGTTGAGTGATTGCTTTAGACTTAGACATCTTTTAAATGTTTAAGTAAGGACAGACAAACCCAACCCTGAAGTGACAAAACTGCACAAAGTATCCCAGATGACGCAGTCTAAATTTACATAAATGCAGTTTCAAATTCGCCATCCCACTCCTTTTGCATCCTAAGATAACCAGATAGAATTAGAGAAGAAAGGGACTGTATAGAACAGGGAGGTCCGAGCCAAGAGAGCAGCCAGATACACAGACAGTTTCTCCTTAACCCTAACAAGGCTTCAAAGACTTTTCCTAGTAAAAGCTAAGTGGCTCCTAGCTGAGCCTCAGAAGTGCTTCAGCAGTCATGCTCTTAAAAACTTGAGTGCTCAAAATTTTAAACATGAAAGTTGAAGCACTGAAGAGCACAATAGGCTCAGCTAGAAACTGCTTTGCTTCTATCGGAATTTCTTCAGGGAAGTCCATCGGGTCAGGGGGCTCCTCCAGACTCTTGTGCCCTGGGGAGCTGCAGAGTCCTTCCTAGAGGAATCCACACTTCTGCATATGGGACAGGCAAGCTACCACACACCTCAGCCAAATCAGCACTCTGATGCTGGAAGTTTTACATGCTTCAAATCTGTAGTGTGCAATCACTAACCCAGCAGATGTGTAAGACTTTAATTGCCAACTTCACTGCTGGTGATAGTTCATTCATTAAAAACCTTTCTTTTTTCGTATTTCAGAACGAATTTTAGTCAAGTCTATGTGCATGGGGGATTACAGATCTATAAGCACACATGAGTAGGTGTGTACCTAGCCCATCAGGAAGGAAATAAATGGCAAAATAGTAATTTTCACATCCAGGCTGGTTTTTTTTAATGTTTATCCCATGATCATGAAAGCAGTGGATAACTGTTCTTTCCCTGTCCTTCTGGTCACCAAAATATTGATGTTAAAGAGGCTGTAAACAAAGAATCAAGGCTCCAGCTGAAGACAAACATTTATCAACATCCCCAAATGCCAGGAGTGGGGAGATAAGCAATGAAATTGCTGCAACTAGGGAAAAGCAGAACTGAAAAAGAAAAGGAAGGCTCCTTTGGCATCCTACAATTTTCTGATGATGCAGAAAGGAGGAAGGCTCCCTAGCAGGTCCTTGTGGGTCCTGCACAGCCAGGATTCCTCCCTGGCCCCTTCCCAAGAGCTGAAGAATGGAATGAAAGGGTACAGACAGAAATCAGAAATGGAGAAGCAGAGCCCCAATATAAGCAACCATTTGAAAACTTAAAAAAATAATAATCTTTGGGGGTTTAATAGTGCTTTTGATAACATAATCAGGGAAAAGATATATTTTTACTCTCTAGCTTCTGAACCTTTAGGGTGCACTCATTCTTTCCTCTGTAACTATACAAGCTAAAAATGTATTTTTTCTTCATGAAAACCAGCTTCCTGATTCCAGAGGTTTGTGTTTTAGATAAAAGCACCAACTGTTTGCAGACCTCCATGATTAGCACCAGATTTGGTATCAAGAGGGGAATCATAGAATCGCTTAGGTTGGAAAAGACCTTTAAGATCATCAAGTCCAACCATTAACCTAGCACTGCCAAGTCCACCACGAAACCATGTCCCTAAGCACCACATCTATACAATGCAGAATCCCCAGGAGGGGACTGTTTGGGGATCCAGAGTGGGGTGACTGACAGCGGGAGGCGAAATCAGCTGCCCTACAACAGCCCGCGATGATCTGGATGGGACCAGAGTTCGGTACCACCCAGCACCTAAACCTGAGACCATTCTGCTCCTCAGTTCATGCAAACTGGGGTACTCTTCACAGAGAAATACTTGTGCACATCAGAGAAAATGCCTTAATTTAATAAATAACATTGAGACTAAGAATTTTACCCCATACAATTTCATGGCAATAACAATGCAAACACTCTGAAGAAATAAAACAGAACTAAATAATAACTAGAAATTATAATTCCTGCATCCCCAGCTGCCTTTCAACTAGAAGAATCACAGACATTACAGATGGAAATTGCCTATTAGATCATCTAGTCTAACTCCTTGACAGTGAAGGATAAATATCTCAGGGTGCTATCCATTATAATACCGTCTGGGATCACTTTGTTCATCTTTGAATTTCAGCCATGTCTGGAATGGATAGAAGATCTGTTCTTCCGCAGTGCTGCAGAAAGAATGTATTCAGTAGGTGAGAATATAATAGATGATCTACTGCTAATGCTACCTGTTCATCTTTTAATGCAACTCACATCTACTACATAAAACCACCGGTGCTACTCGAGCAGACAGACAGGAAATAAAAGGCTTTACATGTCAGTCCTTCTCAAGGAATTTCTTCTGCTGGGATAGAGCAAACACAATTTCCTCAGTATAACTGGACCTAATTTAATATGCAGAGCTGCAAAGATGCTTATCCCTTTGAGACCTATAGACAAACCACAGATTTTTTTTGTCTTCATTTTGAAACCTAGTTTGAGAGTTAGCAAGCAGACATATCTGGAAAGAATTTGGATATGAGATGGAATAATTGATTTTACCTAAAGCATTTTGTAACAGCCTTTAACATTAACACAAGTGGTGGAAGGAAGGAGAGGGCTTTTCTCTGTGTTAACATTATAAGTTTCACCAGGAGTACACTGGACGACCATGAAGTTGTAACTGCCTCTGCTCAAGCAGTTGCAAATGAAGGACGTTCACCCTCATTTTGATGTAGCCATGACTGCACACTGCTACTTGGGGGCATATATTGATGATCATAACATTCCCTTCTACTTTACAATGTCTTTCTCTATTTGCACCTGGACACTTCAGCCAGGGGAGAGGCAGAGAAGTACAAAACAACTGAGATCAGTTTTCTGGGATTAACACTGGTGCTGCCACACTCTGGTTTGTCGGCCAGTGGTTGAGATCTGCCTGTGGGCAGGCAGGCCTCATCCCCAGTGGGGATACGCTCTCTGCTTCCAGGCAGCAAAGACACCTGCAAGGTATGAATGTTTCCGAGACACATTTTTTTCTAAGCACTGTAAGGAAGACAAGATTTCAGCCTAGAACTATACAAACATTAAGAGAGCAACTATTACTATGATCGGTCTAAGCACTAGATGTCAAATATTCAAACTCATCCTAAATAAAATCTCATCAAGGTCAATACAATGCTGCAGGCCCTCCAGTGCAGCTAAACTGATTTTTTTAATATTGTATTTGCTGAGGCTGAAGTTCCCTTGCATGAGATGTTAAACTACTGAATAAGACAAACAAATAAAACCCACTGTGATGCTCATATTGATAATGTTTTCCAGAATGTTCCCGTTTAAGACACCACAGCTCTGTTCCACACTACAAAATAGCAGATTGACTGGCTACAGACTGCTCGTGTGACCTTGTCTATAAATGGCATTTCTCTCTGTTAAGTTGAAAGATACTGGGCAAAAGTCTGATTTTATCATACTTTAAAAAAATTAATCCTGTTTGCCTGTTGCTATTAGAAGTTAGGAGCTTCTCATGGGATATGCCTTTCTTAACCATTTTCATGCCTTTTTTCCTTCACACCCTCATTCTTGAGAAGGATGTTACTCACGTAAAGCTCATCCAGCCTGG